AACGGGCACACCCCTCGGGAACCAGCGCCCCTCAAACACATTGAAGACCATGAAGCCCCCGGGGAGCGCGCCTTCATCAAAATTTGGGGGCTCCCCCTTCGGCATCTCTCAGGATAACAACAGGGACCCCTCGGGAAATCAACACACGCGCCTTCAGACAGAGATAGCCTTCGGCAAAAAATATTGCACTCATTCCAAGCCAAGATTTCACCTTTTCGGCTCATCATTGGGGGAATTTGGTGCACTCTTTTTCCCTCATTGGAATTTTTTCCCACAGGGTTTTTTCCAATGAGGTTTTTAACGAGGCATCCCCCCAAAATGAAACGAAAAGCGTCACCCCTCGGCTTCATATTGCAGGCAGGCACTACTCTACTCCTTTTCACCACTTTGCAAGTGCCTCAAGGAGTGGGGGATTGGAGGACCCCTTCGGGAAAATCCCAAAATACAAAAAATGTCAAAAACTCCCACAAACAACGAGCATGATCCCTCAAGTCCCGGAATGTGGGTAACTGAGGGACTGCCCCCGACTGAAACATGCACACAACAAACTACTCGCAAACTCCACAAACTACAACAGAACAACACCAAAATGTCAAACGCAGATTACTCATTTTCCCTCAAGTACCTTTCGGCAAAAGGAGTGAGGGACTCCTGATGGAGTATATGGCCCAGGAACCCCCGGCCCATAGACTCCTACTATTCTAATGGAGGCCCAATAGGCCCAGGAAGCACAGTAGGCCCAAATCACGGCGCCCCAAGTACTAAGCGCGTTCGGAGCACATTGGGAGCGCCTTCGGCCCCATGGCCGAAGGCTCCAGATTCTCACAGGATGACCAACTCAAGCAAACAGAATTACTGGAAGAAAATGGCGAAAATCAATAGCCCTCGGCATCTAGAGCCCTCGGCACAAGGGGGTCCCCGGCACTCAGAGCCCTCGGCTAAACACCTGCAGCCGAGGGCCCCCTTTCCCGACATAATATCCATTCCACATGCGCCGGAATCACCGTACCAAGTACGACGTCACATCCAACAGCCGCATTAAATGCGGCCACATGCGATTGCCAGCGTCAACCAGTTGATGTGACCCCTCGGCCAATGGATGCTTGACACGTGTCCCTAGCTGACATTTATTACTACTATAAATAGCACCTCATTTCCCCATTTGTAAACCAGAAGCAAATTACGCTGAATACATTTCTAATATACTCTCTCTCTCTCTCTTACCTACTTGCTCTGACTTCTCTCTAGCTATTCCCCGCAATAACCCCTCGGATAAGCTACCCCCCGGGTACACTATCCATAATAAAATTTGTATGTAACATTCTTTTTTTTCAAAGTTACTAATTACACTTTTTATATCTATAGTAATATAAAAATTACTCATATATTAGAATTAGAATATAAAAATAGTAACTACATATTTATATTATTTATTATAAATATATTAAAGTCATTTTTTTACGTATTATATATAAGAATTGATTTCTTTTAGTTTATACTACGTATTTTATTTCTTTATTTTGAATTTACCAAAAAATAATTCATATTTATATTTTATATTTTTGACTTATTTTTTATTCTATTTTTATTTTGTATTTTCATTTTTTATTTCTATTTTTCGTAATTTTGACGTTTTTTAGGAGTTGAGGGGGTGAATTGAACGATTTAATCTGGTTGAGGGGCTTATTGTAAGTTGCCACGTCACATGCACAGTTGGAACCCTTCCGAGTGACATGGTGGTGACCGGATTGTTACCTGCAAAAAATAAAATTTGAAACTTTTTTTCGAATTCAGGATGCCAATTGAAGTTTTTTTTAAATTAGGGGGACAAATAACATTTGAGAATGATACATTGACATATTTGACCCTTTTAACCTATGAACTAAAGCAATGTCGTAGATGGAAATTAAATCAATTTAACACCGCCATTCCTCCTCCCATATAAGTGCTTTAGTCACTCTATCAAAACTTCTCATATATACATTCACTTTTCCTCTTAATAATAACCTCTCTTCAAAGTCAACTTTGAACTGTAATGATTATTTTTCCAATATATCCTCCGTTCCATTTTAATCGGAAATGTTGAATTTTACATTATTCACATTCTCTACTTTGACTACATTTTACGTTATTATATTATGGAAATTATTTTGTTAAAAAAATATTGTTCAATTCATCTCATTACAAATTTTCAAAATCTGATTTTTAATTTTTTTTCTACTAATAGAATTAAGATATAATTACGGTCAAAGACGTGCGTTAGCAAATGTAAAATGTTGACCATTGTAACTACAAAAGAACGGAGAGAGTACTAGTAGCTTTAGTAGTATGCAATTATTCACTAAGAGGTAACAATAATATAAAAACAATTCCGATCAAGAATTTTCTAACCAGAATATCGGTCGAACACCCCCTGTTTGAGGTGCTGTCGGGCGAATTTTTTGATAAATTTTGTGAACACTTCATGAAAAAGTATGTCCATCAAATTTTAGTTAAAATTAAATTGAGAAATCAATTAAATAAATCATTGAGTCAAACTGGACTAAAATATATATATATATATATATAAACGCAATTTTATCAATAATTTATTCAAAAAAAATCACCCGCCCACGGTGCTGTGGTCAAGTGGTCAGGAAATTCCTGACCAGAATGTTTGTGTCTAGCATGATCTTCATATGATGAGTTCTCAATTATTTAGAAGTTAGGTTGTGGGACTAAACAGGCCGCCGACAAATAGGAGTTGTTAAAAAATGTCCAGCCACATACCGTGATTCCTACAGCTGCATAATGCATGGCACGATACACATATACATCATTCACATGCCACGTAGGCACGTACTTGATCGTCATCATTGTGCATTCATCCCTCAAAACCGTATAGCATACTCTCTCGTCCCTCATAACTTATTACTTTCCTTTTTTGGATGCTCCAGAAACAAGTTTTCATTTCCTTAAATGACAATTTAATCTTTATCAAAACAGTGTTAAAAAGTGCACAACAGTATCAAACAGTGTCGAAACAGTGTAAAACAATGCCAAACAGTGTCGAAACAGTGTCAAAACAGTAAAATTTACCCCTTGGTAAGTTTATTTCCTTAATATGTTTGTAAGTCAAATTGTGAAGTTTATTGTGCGACAGAGAGAGTATTTATATATAATTATGAAATAATTATATATAAAAATTGTGTACAAAAATGTGATTAATGAATAGAGTCATAATAAACTTAGTTATGTTTAATTTTCAAACTAAGTTACCATTACATTAAGTGAGGCCTGATTTTATGAGTATAATAGTAAGTGCATGTTACTCTAGTTACCGTCCAGTTGGCAATCATTATTGCTAATGTGTTACGTTAGGGGATTAGATTCTTATATTTCTTAATAGGCAATAGTTATCCAAAATGATGAGTTGTCCCTTGCAGCCATTTTTATTTTAGGTAAAATCCTACCTATCATTTCAGGTGCAATAGTACTTGTAGGTTTGCTAATTAAAGATAAGATCATAAGATGCATGTATTATTTGGATATACCAAGCTACTCCCTCGTCTATAAAAGCTTTGCTAAGTTTGACCGACACATAGAATAATAAAATAAAAACTGTGTGGTGGATATTTGTGCAGAGGAGAGAAATAACAGGAGCCACAAATTGATTGATTAAAAAGGAAAGTGACAAAGTTTTTGGGAAAATAAAAAAAGAAAAGTTAGCAAAGTTATAAAGGAAATCTACCCCGATTTAGTTAGTCAAACATGACTTTTTAAGTCAATAATATTTTACTTTGAATGATTATATATTTATATAGAGAAAGTATTGATAATGTGAAAATGATATGAAAATATTCTTTATTTAAAATATTACATAAATAAAAAATAAAAAGTCTTGTACAATAGAATTCAAATTACAATACAATAGAATTCATAACGGGCTCCGCTGCGAGGGACTCGACTAAGTTAACTAGTTAAGTAACACTAGATAATGGGGTTATGAAACCAGTCCCACAACCCAATATATGGATCCAGGCCCAAGACGTGGACCAACAAGCTCATGCATGAGATAATCAAAATTTACCAGCCTAGCAAAAGAAGATCTAAGATGTTGGACCTACCACCTGCAGGTCGACCTAGCTACCAATCCAATCTATACGCCAATCCTCCTTTTCATCTCATAATTGAAAGTTAGGGTTTAATTGTAGATAAAATTTTTAAAATTGGAATTTAGGAATTTATTTGCTGTTTCTAATATAAAACATAGGTTTTTGTGCTTCATGATATCAAATTTAGATAAATGAAATCATCATTTTGTTCTCCTAATACAAAGTTGGGATTTCTTGGTAGAAAATTTGTAAGAATGAATTTTTTGCATTACATTTATAGTAATATGCATGAAAATGTTGTAATTTATATGAATATTTCCAACTTCCCCATGGCTACTCATCATTTATTATAATGTATTGTTATTAGAATATGGAAGTTTCCAATTTTATCATAGTGTGTCATTGGGGAGGACAAGTAATTGAGGAAGCAAGAGCAATAGAAATATAGAATATGGAGATAGACGAAGAATTGTTGTTTTTTCTCGCATGTATGCCAGAAATGATGCAAAAAATATATGCAGTAACATCCATTCCTCAAACGGTCCGAGTCAAACCACTTCTTTGGAAGTCAAGGTTAAATATCCCCTTCACGGGAATCATACATGTTGATCTCACTTGGTGATGAGGAAGAGGTCAAAGACTTAAAGGAATGTTGACGATAATCTTGAACCTTGGTATGCAGATTTTCGACAATGAAGATATACATTGAAGAATCAATTTTAGACCGTCCTATATTATCTCCCTGCACATCAATTCCAGATGCATTTGTCAACGTTGTTCATGGGACGAAATACCATATTACTAAAATGGTACACTTTTTAATGCATTTATAGTGTAGTGCGTAAGACATACTTATGCATGCAAGAGTTAAGAAGTCCTGAAGCATAAATTAAAATTTGTTAAAAAGAACGTTATTGCACCAAAACGAATCAATCTCGGTAAGTATGTGCCTTGCAAAACAAGCTCAAAATATATCCATTAGCTTTACTTTTTAATGTACAGAAATGAATCTACAAGTTTTTGTGGCGCAAAAATTAGAAAGTGAAATATACAGTGAGCAACAGTCTATCGCTGCATGGCACATTTTGTTGGACAAAGATGATACAATGTAACAGATTCGTCAAAGCACCAAACAATATTACTGTAAAAAGAACAAAATTATCTAAGAAAATTGTCCATTCTGTTACTGCGTGAGCATGCATACAGTTCATATCTTCATAAGAACCAACTAGTGGTAATATTTCCGAGCCAAAACAGAAGGGGGAACTGAGCCAAGGCAATGAAGAGGAGGAGATAATGATGCCTACTAGAATCGTAAGTAAAGAGCACTCTCTTCATTGTCTTTACCAGAAATACCCCCATGCAGAGACCCGCCCATGGCATCAAAAAGTAGTACGAGTAGCTCGTGAAGATCTTTCCCAAGACAGCTATAGACAACCCCGCAAAGGAATATCCTGCATAAGCGACAATATCCAGCAAAGGTGCTTCTCCACTCCCAAGAGAGAAAAGTGTCATCTTCAGCAATGTAACTTGTAAAAACCACCCCACCAAACCCTTCATGAACAGCCAATTTATTGCTTCTGGGCTAAACCTGGCAAAAGGTAAGCCCATAAAAACAACATGAAAACAATGTGGCAAACCTCCTGAAAAAAAACTAGGAACGTAACTGTTCGACCAAAGCGAAGTTTTATTGAAACTCGGGATTAAGAAGATAGGCTCTCACTTTAGGATCTGAAATATGAAACTTATCAAATTTAAGACCAGGGTCTGAATGATTAAAACTATCAAACCAAGACCACAATAGTCCTGAAAGAATTATTTTTGAAAATTGACAAGAATAATTAAAAACCAAAATGGGATGTTCTTTTCCCGTGAAAAACTTGCGCAATGTTTTCTAAGGAAAATTTAATCCTTTTCTGCAGAAAATTGAAAATGTTTTTAAGGAATGAGCAGCTCTATTTATAATACTATAATGTTTTCAGCCTTTCAGGCAGACAACTTCCCTTTTCAAATTGTGAAGTACTACGTAATTTTAAACAGAAGTCTAAAGAAATGAACAAAATATTTTCCCGATGCCAAACACAATGACTCCAGAAAAACGTTTTCTAGAGGGAAAATCGAATTTTTCATAGAAAGAATTTAATGATGGGGGAGGTTCGAACAACATATAACTCCGTCATGATATCATTTTTTTGGTATCATGCCTGTCCCAAGCCAGGATAAAGGAGGAGGGTGTTGTGATAGGCATGTGACGGCCTACAGTATCACCTAGTCACATCACATGACATAATCAAAATATGAATATCGATAAGGCTAGGTCGTCACCCGTAAGTGACGCGTCATCCCTCCACCTGGGGGTGGTGTCAAATATGCAAGGGTGCGCTATACTTCATAGACCTGGGTGTGGTGATAAGAATGCTAAGGTTGCTAGGTCGCCGCCCGGAAGCGACGCGTCATCCCATTGCCCGGGGATGATGTCAAATATGCAAGGGCATGGTGGGGTCCGAGATGGGGCTAAGAACAAAAGGTGGAGTGCTAGATTGCGTTTTGGGACATGGAATGTTGGGTCTCTTACGGGCAGATCTTCCGAGGTAGTCGAGGTTATGAGGAGAAGGAATATCAACATTATGTGTGTGCAAGAAACTAAATGGGTTGGAGAGAAAGCACGCGAGATTAATCCCGAGGGTTTTAAGTTGTGGTATTCGGGGAGAGATAAGACCAGAAATGGGGTAGGCATTATTGTGGTGTGTGACTATGTTGAGGATGTGGTAGAAGTCTTCAAGAAGAACGATCGCATCATGAGCATTAAATTGGTGATAAGGGGTGAGATTGTGTCTGTGGTAAGTGCCTATGCACCACAAGTGGGATTGGATGCATCTACAACTCAACAATTCTGGGAAGATCTTGAAGACGTGATGCGATGAGTGCACAATTGTGCTTGTGCTTGACTTTCGAGGGAAGAACCATAGAAGACAAGTTAAACAACAAGTGGAGCCAAAGATAAAGTGGTGGAGGCTTGAGGGAGATCTTTAACAAAAGCTTTACACACAAAATGATCGGTGAAGATGTATGGCGTATTGATAATGAAACACGTGTGGATGATGTGTGGTTATCAATGCAGTTGACCATTAACAGAGTGGCAAAGGAGGTACTACTTGGAGAATCTAAAGGATGTCTGCCACCTAAAAAGGACACGTCTTGGTGGAATGATGAGGTGAAACAAGCCATAAGTAACAAAAGAGATTGTTACAAAAAGTTGGGGACAAGTTGGAGTGATGAGAACATAGAAGCATACAAGGAGGCTAAAAGACAAGCAATTAAAGCCGAAAGGGAAGCACGAGGGAAAGTGAACAAAGAGTTGTATGAAAAGTTGGACTCTAAGGAAGGAGAACTAGATATTTATAGATTTGCTCGTCTTCGTGATCGCAGGACTCAAGATATTGCAAAAGTTAAGTGTGTGAAGGATGTCGATCAGAGGATATTAATGGACGACAGAGATAAAAGAGAGGTGGAGGTCATACTTTGATACACTACTCAACGGGAACAAAACACAAGATATCGGTGATTTGTCCATACCAGATTGTATGGTAAATCGTGAATTTGTGAGAAGGATCCAAATAACGGAAGTTAAAGAAGCTCTGAGGAAGATGGGACGGAAGAAAGCAGTGGGTCCAGATGGCATACAGATCGAGGCTTGGAGAAGTTTGGGAGAGAGACGCGTCGAATGGTTAACAAGTTTCTTCAACATGATTTGGAGAAACAACAAGATGCCAACGAGTTGGAGGAAGAATACTCGTATCTCCTTATTTAAGAAGAGTTTTTCCCATTTTCGGTCCCATGACTATTATGTCAATGACACTTTTGGTACTCGATTTCTAATTTTTCCATTTTTAGTCCTCGACTATAATGCTAGAGACACTTTTAGTCTTCGACTTCAAGATTTCCCACATTTAGTCCCTAAGTATTGTCAAATCGACACTTTTAGTCCTCCCATTATGATTTTAACACAATAAGTGGAGGACTAAAAATGTCACTATTATAATAGTTGAAGGATCAAAAGTGTCACTTTTATCAAAGTTGAAGGACTAAATATGGAAATTTTCAAAGACAGGTACCAAAAGTGTCTCTAGCGCAATAGTCAAAGACTAAAAATGGAAAAAATCAAAGTCGAGTACCAAAAGTGTCAATGACATAATAGTCGGAGGACTAAAAGTGGAAAAAACTCTATTTAAGAATAAAGGTGATGCACAAGAATGTGCCAACTATTGAGGGATTAAGCTTATGAGTCACACCATGAAACTTTGGGAGCGAGTGATTGAGCAAAGACTTCGAAGAACTGTGAAGATTTCAGAGAATCAATTCGGTTTTATGCCTGGTCGCTCAACAACTGAGGTCATTCACCTTCTTCGGCAACTTATGGAGAAGTATAGAGACGCTCATAACGATCAACATTTGGTGTTCATTGACTTAGAAAAGGCATATGATAGGGTACCTCGAGAAGTTCTTTGGTGGGTTTTAACTAGAAAAGGCATATCACGCAAGTATATCAGCATCATCATGGATATGTATGAGGATTGTACTACAAGTGTCTGTACTAGTGTAGGGACGACTGAAGAGTTCCCTATTACTATCGGAGTGCACCAAGGATCAGCTCTGAGCCATTTCTTATTTGCCATAGCCATGGATGAACTCACGAAGTCAACTCAAGACGATATACCGTGGTGCATGATGTTTGACGATGATATTGTATTGATTGATGAGACGCAATCAGGTGTTAAAGCAAAGTTGGAAGTATGGCGACAAACATTGGAGAATAAGGGTTTCAAACTAAGTCGAAGCAAGACAGAGTACATGGAGTGCAAGTTTGGTGAAGGTAGAAGCAGTGGTAATAGCGGAATTACTCTGGATGGTAAGGAGATACCAGTCAGCGATATGTTCCGTTACTTAGGCTCCATAATTCAGAAGAACGGTGAGTTAGATGGAGATGTATCTCATAGAATCAAAACAGGGTGGATGAAGTGGAAGAGTGCGTCAAGATTTCTATGCGATCGAGGTATGTCGACTAGACTGAAGAGTAAATTTTATAGGACAACAATTAGACCTGCATCACTGTATGGCGTAGAGTGTTGGGCGGTGAAACAATGTCACATTCAAAAGATGAGTGTGATAGAGATGCGCATGCTGCGTTGGATGTGTGGGCATACTAGGAAGGACCACGTGAGGAATGAGACAATCAGACAAATGGTGGGAGTAGCACCTATTGAAGACAAGATGCGGGAGTCGCGCCTACGGTGGTTTGGTCATGTACGTAGAAGACCGAGTGATGCACCTGTCAGGCGAGTTGAGATGTGTGGAGAAGAGGCAGGGAAGAGAGGGAGAGGAAGACCTAAACAAACGTGGGTTAGGGGAGTTCGAAGTGATATGCTTCTTCTGGGGTTGGATGAGGCATGACTTTGGAGAGAGCTAAGTGGAGGACGGGTATTCGTGTGGAGGAGTGATCTCGTATCATCTTTTCCTCTCATCTTTTTTCCTTGTTTTTATCCTCATATATATAAGCATTATTTGTATCCTTTTTATTTTATCATTTTTATGTATATTCATCTCTTTTTATATTATCTTTTTATCATAGCTTATCTTTTTTATCTTTATTTTCTTTCTTTTCCCTTTGGTGGTGATATCATGTATCGATTCATGTTAGCCGACCGCAATATCTTTTAGGACCAAGGCTTGGATGTTGTTGTGGAGGTTCGAACAACATATCTATTACAACCAAACAAATTCAGAGATGAATGGTCTCTACAGAGTTGTATTCATGCATGAAATGGCACCGGCTAACCTTCCCTGGAGACCCAATGATAAACCAGCAAGAACAACATAGGTGCCAAATGCCATAAAGGGTATGTACAAATCTGGAGCATTTATGTCATAAATTGGGGGCTTATAGGAAAGCCTGCCACCTACTGGCTCTGTGATTCTTGTCCAATGTCCCTATACAATCATTAGAAGAGGTAGTTGTTATTTCCAAAACCATACTGCATCAATGACGAGCCAGGAGATTTAACAGAATCTTACCCTATGCAGGAATGGGAAAAGTACAACTTTCAATTTGTTCCTCACATATTGGTCATTGACTTGGAAGTAGTATTGCGGATCAGAAAAGTATCTACTGATCTGCTCATCACTATACAAGTTACACAAAGAAATAATTGCATTTTGAAAAGTAACAGATAAGACAGAGACAAATCATGTCCTCCAAACACCATCCACCAATATAGCCTAATAACGATTCGGAATCAATTAAGCGAAATATTTAGCAGATTTATAAAAAGGGTCTGTAGAAATGTTTATGCATGACTAGTCCCTCTTATATACACTATTATTTCGTTCTCCACTTCCTTCTGGGCCCAATTTTGTCATTATGAATGTTTTACTCTAATCAACAAAGGTATATTTGTACTCTTGGGACTAAATAGGATCCGAAATTAGTCGAAGCTGGTTTTAACTTGGACTATATTGGATGACCAAGTATCTTGAATATTTTGGTTCTAAATACCACAAAGGATATGATTGTACAGTGAGGGCCAAATGGGGGTCTAAGTTAATGAAATGGACAAAAATCCTTCTAATTTAGAACCAGATACGTGTGCGATCAAAATTGATCTAAATGTCATAGTAGGGTACCAAAGCGAGTCCGGTTAACTTTTCCAAAAAAAGATCTGAACTCTGAAGTAGCTCATGTATTAATACTTGCATGAGTTGCATCTCAAATAGGTCTGACAGAGTAGGAAGTGAGTTACATTAAGGCATTTGTACAGAGACAATGCTGGAGAAAATTGAGTGGGGGGGGGGGTCAGATGAACACAGTGGTCACTCACAGCCTTGCAAGATACTTACATTGCTTTGGACGTATTCAGAACTTGAACCAAGAATTTTCTCTCCATAAGCACCCAACCCGCCTCTTATTAAACCAGACCCTGCGCCATAGAATGCATTCCCAAATGCATTTTGCTGCACATTAGTTGGTGGCCTGAGCACTCCAGGTTGCGCTCCAAGATTATCAAACATGTCTGTCATAGAAACGAATACGAGTAATAGAAGAGATGATTGATATCTATCAAAATAGTTGGATAACAATAACAGTTCCATAAAAAGTGCACCAGTTAGCAGTTAGCACTTGGCATAATCAGAAAAATGTCTGCAAAAGTATACAAGAACAGCATAAAATAGTGCATCAGCTAGCACTATTTTACATATAAAAAAACAGCGCATTACACACTTAGTGCAATAAGTCTGCAAAATACAAAATCAGCAGTTCAGCTGTTGCAATAAGTTGCAAATTCAGTAAAAACCAAAACAAGTTTGCACCAGTTTACATCTACGCTCAACATAAGTCTTAACAGCCAGAATCAAATATGTCTGAATAGCTAAATAAGTCTGCATTATGGAACATAAGTGATCACAGCAAAGTTTAACAAATAATACTAGTACTACCTCCGTCCCATAAAACTTGGCCAACTTTCCTTTTTTGGACGTCCCAAAAAACTTTGCCATTTCCATTTAAAGTAAGTAAATATGTGGCTAACAAGGTTCGAAATTGCGTATTGCGTAGTTGTGGCGTTTTTTTAAACATTGCATATTGCGTAAGCCTCATTGCGCAACGAGGCGTAATATATACACACACACATAAACATAATAAAAAATAAACATATTTGTCAAACGTCCTCAAATGTTATATTAAAACAAACCATAAGAGGCCATATTCCTAGCAAAGTAATATGTTCAAACTTCAAAGTACCATAGAATACCAAAACTTTCTGAATCGTTTACAAAAAAAATCTAAGATATGAGACTTTAAATTAATTAGATTGATCGACTGAAAAAATCCAATCAATAACTAGTGGTTTGAAATAGGGATCATAACATCATTTATAAAAATTTAAAAGTAGGCCGGGTAGGCCCAAATAATACCCTTACACCCTGACCTTCTCCTATTGCGTACGCCTCAGAGCGTCTTATTGCGTACGCCTCAGTGCAATATTGCGTACGCCACACTCCCAACGCCATATGCAATGCCTTTTATGCCATAGTCTAGGAATTAGCTGAGGCGCGCCATGAGGCGCAATTGCTTTGCGCAATTACAAACAATGGTGGCTAAAGTTATTTCTCTCTCCTCTGCACAAATATCAACCACACAGTTTTTACTTTATTAATCTACGTGCAAGTCAACATTGGTCAAGTTTTATGGGACGGAGGGAGTATTATTTATCATTAGCAATAAACTAGTAATCTGCCCAGATAAATGAAAATAGTAAATACAACTCAAGTTAGAAATTTCCGACAACTGCGCACAACATTCACTTCCAATCCAGAAATTATCTGCCCAGATAAATGAAAATACAACTCAAGTTAGAAATTTCCAACAACTGCCCACAACATTCACTTCCAATCCAGAAATTAATTACATACAACCATGGTTTGTGATTGCGCAATGCAGTACGCCAGTACCGCCTTGAAGCGCTTTGGGCCCACTGGACTTACTTTTTACTAATAAATGTATAGAGGCGTACATAAGTATACCTGGCAGCGATTCAGTTACTTACTTTCTTCGGCCTTTTCTACGGAACTCAGTTCTTCCTCTGCCTTCCTCTTCTAGTCTTCTCGAGGCAACTAAGGCGGTTTCAGGCTTCTCAATGCAACTAAGGTTTCTTTAGTTTTTACTAAAGATATAGTATGGCCCGTATTATACATACTCCCTCTAAATAATCTTGACTAATGATATCTTTGCACATTTTTAATGCATCAATGATTTTATTTTAGCTTACTCCATGTGTGATCATATTTTCTTTTTATTTTCTTTGGATATTAATTTTCTTCAACTTTTATTCGGTTTATATTTATGCATACACACACACACATATATTTATGCCTCAGACATACGCCTAATTGCGCAATGAGGCTTACGCAATATGCAATCCTAAATAAACGCTCTGACTACACAATACGCGATTTCGTACCTTGCAGTGTGTTATATATACTATATCAGATTTAATCAAATGAAGACTCAATGAACACTCAAAGATTCCACGCTTACGCCGGGTAGTGTGTTATAGCCAGATTCATTGACCACTGCTTTTCATGAATTGTTGATCATAGCTCTATATATATAAGCTGGACCGCCTGGGATCACTGTTCCCGTCTGACAATGATGAAGTCGCTATGACATCATCGCGATGTCATCACGGGATGATGTGACACGTGCTCAAAGTTAATCTGCAGAATTTATGCTCTCTTCCGTACTGAGGCAACACTGCCGGCGTATTGTTTGGTCATTAAACTACAGCTTATTACATCTCCTTAATTTAGAAAACTATTCATCGTTTAACTGAAATAACAGACAAAGAACAAAACCCTCTAAGCTTGATCTCTTCACTGCTGAGATCTATTCACTGCTGATAAGATATGAAAACACATGTACGAACAAACAAAACAAAATGCGATAAAATAAGAAGACGCTTAGTAATAATCGACTAACCTCGGGATACTAGACGAACGGGGTGGTGTAGACTGCGTCCGACCTAAGGGGAAGAGGAGCTGGAAATGGAGAGAGCAATACAGCGTCGACCGTCTGGCTGAGATGAGCCGTAGAGAGATGCCGGATCGGATGAATTGGCACACGACGGGTAAGGTGATTCCAGATCTTGGACGTGATTTTCTAATTGGGCCGGATCAAACACTTTGGACCACTAACCACTTTAAATCATTTAGAACCTGTTTGATTTTTTTTAGAACCCGTTTGATAACATTGAAATGAGTTGAATTGGTGGGTTCTTCTGAAATTTATGAAGTTTTGATTAAAGTGTCTGGATCTGTTAATTCAACTCAATTTTAAAAATTTATATATTTTGGAAATTGTAATTTTTTTTTTGCAAATTTAAAATTTTAATGGGTATGTGACTATTTGTAGTCATACATGTGAAGATACATATCATCACTTGTATTATTTGAGTGTTACTACCTCCGTCCCGCTATGATTGTCCCATTTTATCTTATCGGTCCGTCCCACTAAGATTGTCTCATACCAAATTTGGTAAATTTTGTGTGACTCTAAATCAATCTTACTGTATTCTTACTTTATCAATTCAATATCAACCACATAAATCACTTTTTATTAATTTGTGTGCCACTCTCTCTTGTCCCATTGTTAGCGGGACGGAGGGAGTACTATTTATTGGATTGCTAATAATTGACAAATGCTTAATTGACAAATAAGGAAAGAATTGAAGAAAGAAAAAGAAAAAAGAAAGGAAAAGAAAATAAATGTTTTTACAAAACAAATTTTAATGTTTTTACAACTTCATGCATGCTTAATTGGGTGATATTTGAATTGATGGGTTTAATTGACATTTTTGTAGTTGTAGGCGGGTTATTTGACACTTTTCTTTATTTTAATTGAACGTAAGGGGTATTTAGAATTGATTCTGCTTCTGATTCTTCTAAAAAGCAGAACTTATAAAACTTATACAACTTCTGATGCTTCTGAAAAGCATAAGCAAAATTAGGATTAGCTTTTCAGATGATGATTTCTCCCAACTTCTAAAAAATTGCTTCTAGGGGCAATTTGGAACACCGAAGAGAACTTATGCACTTTCACCTAAACAGTCCCATGTCTACTTCTACTCTCTCTAAGAGCAGAAGCAGTTTTAAAAAGTAGATCCAAACACCCTCATAATTTGCTTCACAAGGTGTTGCTATTGATAATGCTACTAATAATACTTTTGTTGTACCTAGGTTGCATGAATTATGTGATCCTTCTACTTTGATGGGTAGTTTTTTCAATAAGCGTTGTGAATGTCATATTATTATTCTATATGTGAAAGACACCTTAGCAGCATTAGGAAGTGTGATGGACAAAGTACATTTAGGGGGCTATTAAAGTGATTTGGGGTAGTACTCCACTTAAAATGCAATGACATGCTTATTTGAAATCTAAATGTGTTCAATATTGTATTTTTCGTAAAGATCTGTCTACTCATTGCAATAGTATTTATAATTTATTTGTTATGCTTCTTAGATTCAGATGTCATTTCCCTGCTTTTATAAGAGAAACTTGTACCTATATTGCAGAATCGATTGAAATCAACACCATAGCGAAAATTTGCAACATGTTAGTTTTTTTTCATAACGGTGATCAATCTTTTTCTCATGTTTATACACTACCTATTTGTACTTATTTTTTTATAGAAGTTGTTAATCTCGTTTTTGCTTTCAAATATTTTTCTGAAGCAACTTTATTATGTTCATTATTTTTGTGAATTCAAGAGTTTTTTTAAATATCATGCCTACATTCCGCCTACAATATTCTATTGATTTCTGTCTAGATCCTCATCTCACACTTGCTACTTATCAAACATTTTTAGAGTAAATTATATTGCTTTCTATAGTGAGTTCCCTTAGTTCCCTATGTACGATGACACCCTATAAATCCTCAAGCCTAATTCAACGAGGTTAGTAATCTGTTTCATAATTTAGTTATTGAGTTTCATCTAAAGTAAATCTATTTGTGCCGTTGTACAAAGCTCGATGAATGAGTTTTCTTTATATCTGATGTTTCTTGTTGAGTATGATGAAGGAGCAGAGTTTGTCATTCTCCAATGCTGGAAGAGCCATTTTATAAAAAATGGCAAAACAAGTGTTGTCAATTTCAGTTTCAACGGTTAACGTGGAACAAGAGTTTAGCGAAGCCGACAACACCCTGACTGATTATAGAATGAGGTTGAGTGCGCAATCTCTTGAGACACTCATTTGCTTCCAGGATTGGTTGAAGGTCCACAATAAAACACAAGAACTTAACATAACGATGGACCGCCGCTTCATTGAGGAAATGGCAACTGACACCAAAAGTGATTCTGACGATTAGTTCATGGATTTAAAGTTACTTTATTCTCAATTGTAATTTATAAATGTGTAATTGTCTAAGTTAATTTAGTGAATGAAATTATTCTACATTTTGTTCTTTAACGTGTAACATTTGTAATAAATTTAAAAAGAAAGAAGCCCGTACCAGTTCAGGACTGATCTGGAATTGCGGGTACCCGAGACCGGATCAGGACCTGTAAAATGCTGAGTCGGTTCCGAGCTACAACATCGAAAGGGAAGTTCACCAGCCCGCTCTCCCACACTACATTGCAAAAATCCGAGATCAACCAGGGAGGTTGGGGACAATGCCCCCCGCCTCTTCTCGTGATCATCCATAATATCATTGAAGTCTCCAACTACCGCCCAAGGGATATTATTTACTGCGGCTAGGCTTTGGAGTGAAGATCATGACTCAAGCCTTCTTTTTCGCTCAAGGAATCCATAGGAACCCTTCAATCGCCATAATGGTATCTGCCCTCCCAGAGACACTGTTGTATCAATGAAGTTAGGTGAGGTGCCTCCAATCGTCACTTCTACTTCATCCCTCCAGAGAAGTGGCAATCTACCACTCCTTCTGTTGCATGCAAATCTGAGTAATACGATCATCTTCGCATAACGTCTCCATAAGAAATATGGCCGACAGGTGGTACATCGATATAATATCCTTTAGAACCTATACAATGGCTAGGTTGTCCAAGCCTCGACAATTCCAACTCACGCAGCCCATCACAATCCAGAAAAAGCACAAAGAAGAAAACCCTCGACCGAGCGAAAGCCGACGAAGACAACCAAACTTCCCCACGTACAGGGAGACCAAAAACCTTCGAAAAAGGACTCCAGGACAGACTTAGAAGATTCTTACTGCAGCTGGCGGCCCAACGCCATTATCGCTGTAAGCGACATTAGGGACAGCGGCATTAAGGTTTAATCAACTATTACCCTACACAATATGTTGATCAATTTTATATGCTCCTTGAAGCATTTGGAAAGGCAAAGTCTGAAACGACAAAGACCGGATGATAAGGCGACAGAGAGTCCATCTCTACTTTTATGCTATTTTTAGTTTTTAGTTGGGAGGTGAAATAATGTCACATAAAAAAAATGAGTGTGGCAGAGATGCGTATGTTACGTTGGATGTGTCATGTGTGGACATACCAGAAAAGACTGTCTAAGGAATGAGATAATCAGATAAAAGGTGGGAGTAGCACCTATAGAAGATAAGATGCAGAAGGTCTCGCTTGCGATGGTTTGGGCATGTGCGTAGAAGACCGAGTGATGCACCTGTTAGGCGACTTGAAGGGTGAGGAGAATAGACAGAGAGAAGAGGGAGGTGAAGATCCAAACATATGAGCGTATGACTTTGGAGAGGGCAAAGTCGAGGGCGCACATTCGTGTGGACTGTTGATCATTTTCTTTTCTTTTTTCCTTTCTTTTTCTTTTATCGTTTATCTTCTTTGTGTTTTTATGTTCTTACGTTATTTTTATCTTCTAGCTTTTTTATGATCTTTTATCTTTTAATCTTTTATCTTTCTTATATTCTTATGTTATTGTTATCTTATATTTATTTATCTTTATCTTATTCATTTTATCCTCTTTTTTCTTCTTGTCCTTCTTATCTTTTTGGCATCGATATCATGGATCGTTTCATGTTAGCCGATCCCAAAATCTTTTGGGATTAAGGCTTGAATGTTGTTGTTGTTGTAGGTTAATTATTCTATATTTCACAAAAACGCGAATATCGTGAGGAAAAGGGAAACTGAAAACGGAAAACGTTAACTTTTGCTCAAAAAACGCTTGTTTGGAGAGTTTTTAAAGGGTTGCTGTAGAGTTTACGAAACGGAAACGTACTCTTTCCTAATCTCGTGCTACATAGGAATAAAGTTGTTAATTTTTCATAAGACTTCGAATAGATTGGAGTTCTCAAAACACAATACCTTCGGACTACCATAAATCTTATGTTGCCGTGTTTGAGGTGCTAATGATTAAATGTTTTGACAAACTCAGGTTATTATTAGAATACAAACACCCCGTATTAAGAGGACGTTTGGTAATACCTAAATCGGCTATACTGGCTTATTCTACTGAAATTTATGAAGTTCTTGCCAGATTGGCAGATTCTGCAGATTTATGAAAAAATTTAAAATATATTTTGTTAATAAAATAAAGAGAAAATTATACTCCCTTCATCCCATTTTACCTGTCTTACTTTCTGTTTTGGGTTGTCCCAAAATAAGTGTCACGTTTACTTTTTAGGTAAGAAATATGTGATCTACAACACTTCACTTTATTATGATAGTTGTTGTCAGTGTTGGTCTCTTAGAGTTTGATGTAACAATCTCAACCACAACTTTTACCTTTACAACCACTGTATTAATAATTGTGTCAAACTCAAATGAGACACATAAAATGGGACGGAGGTAGAATGAAAAATAGCTAAATGGATCCTCTAAAGTAACTTCAGCCAATACAGTTAGAAAAATAACTTCAACCTTATATTTTCTTATTATTACACAATTCAACGCACGAAATAAAAAATTATGTGTTTAATGAGTCGCCTAATAATCCTTGATAACCCGAAAAACATGATCACGAAAGAGGCTTGAAACATACTAAAATTTGGTTTGCGTGCTCCAGAATACTTAACAGTTGAGAAAGGTAGCTTAGCTCATCTTTTTCTTATGGCCTGTAATCACCATTGTTTTCTCCATTTTCTTTGGTAACTCGTCATTTGATTCTTTTGAAACAGCATCTAACATGTCGAACTTTCTTTTGAATTAGCACCTTTCTAGGGTCAGAATTATATGTTAC